GTTCATTGACTGGAATGAAGAAGTGGATGATATTTGCAATTCTAACATGGAACATGGTAGGGAGCTGGGGGACTAGACAGGCAACATGAATAAAATGAATCTTTTCAAAAACTCAAATCATGAACAGTCTTTTTTTTTAAATCATGAACAATCTTGACACTGCCAAGTAAAATTGCAAAAGATACTGCACAGAACCCAGCATCCCTTCTGTAAAATGAGAGCAACAATACCTTATGGAATTGTTATGTTAAAATCATTTTCCTTCTGAGGAGGCCTCAAATAGAGCGGCACACACACTAGGCACTCAACCAACACAATGTAACTGTTTAAATTCAGTATGGTCCCTCACCTACAAACCAATCCAAACTTTGGCCTTTTGTGAAATCTTGTCTAGCTTTGAAACCTTTTAACCTTAAAAAGACTGGGTTTTCGTTTCGCCTTTAGCTCTGTCTTTTGCTGCCCATAAAATTGTTATGCCTCTGTCTACATTCATATCAAATCAGTTAGTTTAGCAAGTGGAAAAAGATGACTGACTAAGCTAGTGACTCTTGCTCTCAGGAGAAGAGTTAGAAACACCACCCCACTAAGGTGCCTTTGGGGGTACAGTTGGTTAAATATCCAACTCTTGGTTTAGGCTTGGGTCTGATCTCAGGGTCATGAGATCGAGCCCCACCCGTGGGTCCAGGCTCAATGCGGAATCTGCTTGAGTTTCTCCTTCCCTCTGCCCCTGGGTCCTGCACTCTCTCTCTCTCTTTCTCTCTCAAATAAATAAATAAATATTTTATTAAAAAAAAAAACATTCCACCAATTCTGCTTGGCAACATCCCCCCATCCCTGTGGCAAGTTGTGCCCACCAAGCTGCACACACTATATCTGGGAATTAGACTTTTGCCTTCATTTGGGGACATGATCAATCTTTTTAGAACACAGTTTGTCTGTTGTTTAGATATAAAATAGACTCAATTTGTCTACGTCTTTTCAGAGTGTGATTCTTGAGATCCTTTGGGGACAAAAACCAAGTGAGAGAGTATAGTATATTACATATACTATTATGTTAAGATATGTTTAAAAAAAACCAAAATGGGCATCTAGTTAAATACTTTAATGATGGGTTAAATTTTGTTGATTAGGATTATTTCCACACTAAACCAAAATTGAAATGACAGAATCTCTAAGTTTCAGAATATGAATGCATTTCAAGTACTTTCAACTTTAGGTACAAAACTCAAGCTAGAAAAAAAAAAAATTCACCTAAGTCAGTCTTGCTTTACTGACTAGATAAAAATGTTATCGGGGCACCTGGGTAGCTCAGTCGTTGGGCATCTGCCTTCGGCTCAGGTCATGGTCCCGGGGTCCTGGAATCGAGCCCCACATCGGGCTCCCTGCTCGGTGGGCCTGTTTCTCCCTCTGCCTCTGCCTGCCGCTCCCCCTGCTTGTGCTCTCTCTCTGTCAAATAAATAAATAAAATCTTAAAAAAAACCCACGTATTTAAAAAAATAAAAATAAAATAAAAAATAAAAAGTAAACTATCCTTTAAAAAAATGTTACCGATACATTAAATAAAAAATCTAAAAATTGCTAGCCTCAGCCTATTATGTATGCAGTATAATTTTTGTAAATGAAGGAGACTTCTAAAACATTTAAAATTTTCTAACCTCATGAATTGGCAAAAAAATTTGTTCTTATCTTGCTTACACTATTAATTTGTTTATTACTCACCTTCTTTTAATAAGCAGAGCAGAGGGGATGTCCTCATTTCCTGTTTGTGAACTAATCCCCAATTAGCACCATGAGAACTACTGAGTTTTATTGCAAGGGTCAACAAGTACCCTAAAGTTTCCCAATTTGTGGTGGCATTTGACAATGCACAGACATGCCACCCTCCGGGCAATTACCAACAGCTAAATCTTACGATGGCTTTTCACCCCATGCACCCCCACCCACCGCCTCCAAGAATCACAACCAGCAATGTTGCAGCCCCATCCCTGAGGGGCTGAGGACGTGGTTTGTTACGTGGAACTGGACCCCAGTCCCCTTTGGGAAAGGTAGCCAGTTCCTGTGTCCCCATCACAGAAAGACCTAGAACTAAGAGAGGGTCTTGGAGACTAGCATTCCCCCTCTTACCATACTCCTCACACCCTGCACTGTGCGCAGAGATGTGAGCAGAGATGAGGCTGTCCTAGACCCACAGTTTAAGGACATTTTCACTATAATCTTTTACCAGTTATTATTGATGTTGGTTTTCCATTCGAAGGGAGGGGAAAACAGTCAAGAGGAATATGGTGTGTATATTTCTTGAAACCCAGAGGTTCAGATGAAAAAAAAAGGGGTCCATCAAAAATGTCCCTAGTACAAAAGTTGGCTAAACAAATAGCCTTCTTTTTTTGTTTTTTTGTTTTGTTTTGTTTTTTAAACTGAACTTTGTAACAGGAGAAATTCTCTCACAAGGAGAGAGTGTTCCTGAGCCAAGTTTAGGCAGAGGAAAATTTTTCCAGCATGTCAGGAACGAAGCTGATGTTCCATTAAGAAAAAAAAATGTGCTAAGGGAAAGAGTAAGGGGGAAAGGGGCACCAGAATTTAGACGGAGCTTTAAATTCCAGACAGGGCACCATTGAGAGCCCCCAGGAAGTTCCCCTCTGAAGGGAGACTGCAGCCCATTTCTCCCTGGAGCTCTCAGCCCCAGTGGACATTTCCTGTTCTGCCTCTGGAAATTCAAGCCAAAAATTACAAAACATCCTTTTCCCTCTGACCAAGTGCTTGGTTCGGAGACCATCCCCTTCCCACGTCGGTGATCTCAGTGCCTGCCCTCCCCTTCCTTCCGCGGAACCCCTCCCTGAGCAGCAGCAAGCGCGCTGGCTTCCCAAGGAGAGATGATGGATCCGTGGTAGCAGGTGGTGCAAACGGCGGCGAGAAACGACCCTGGGGACCCCAGTCCGAGAGGTAGGCACAGGGGACTGGACATTCTTCCGATCGTTTGACATTTATTGCGCAAAAGGAGGACTTGTCCTTTAAGCCTTGGGCGGGGGCATTCTCTTGCCCACGGGTGTGTGTGATGGGTGGGCGGACTGTCAGGTATAAGGTCAGACATTTCTTTTCCCTCTCTTTCCAAATGGCACTTTAACTCTTGGGCTCCTGGAAGCACACGTTTTGTTTGAGTTCTGGTATGGAAAGTGTTGTGGCAGAATTCTGAGAGTTCCCCCAATTCTGGGGTGGTTTTTTGTTTTTGAGTCTCTGGAATGTCAAGGAGCTCTCCTAAATACCTTCAGCTCTGGGGAGACTGACGAAGAAATGAGTGAAGTGCCAGGACCGGGCCCATGTGTCCTGCCGGCTCCCGGGGCTCTCTCCTTCCCTCCCCCTCCCACCCATGGGCACACTCTGGAGTTGCCCCTCCAGGCGTGGGGATGTGGCACGAGGGCCCTGGAGCACCAGTGCTGGGCGATTCCGAGCAGAGCCCAGGTGCAGTTCGAGACCCAGGTGACCGTGGCAGAGGTAAGCCGTCCAGCCGGGAGGCTGCGAGGGGCCCTTGGCTTTGTTAGGGACGCGCTCCCGGCAGTCAGTGGCTGGAAGGCTAGCCTTGGCACCACACTTGCTGACATTGGACCGACACCGACAACTCAGCATGGCTTCTGCACAAGGAGACTCAAAAATTTAGGAAGCAGTCCTAAATGAGGCATTTCAGATGCCCTTCGTTTGAGCTCCTGTGGCTTTTACTTACCTCTACCACACACACAGCTCCTTAGCCACACGCATACTGCCTTGCGCTGTTCTCTTCACAGGCCAGATCAATGAGACGGTGAATTGAACAAACTCATCATAACCTATTAGGGATCCCAAGACAGCAACGAACTCTTGTTGGGCACTGGCTGTGTGCCAGCCACCATTCTAAGGGTGGTAGGCGTCATCGCCATCATCCTCATTTACAGATGAGGACGCTGATGCCGGAGAAACAACTGGTCCATGGCAGAGATGGGGCCTGCACTGAGGTAGCCTCAGTCTCAAGTCCCGGCTGCCCTGCTCTGAAAACAGGCAGCAATGGTTCCAGCATTGCCTGGCTGGGTGGCTCTGGACAAGTTAAATGTCCTCAGCCTCAGTCTCCTCATCTGTAAAATGGGATAGTTATAACCCCACCCCACCGAGGTGTTGTGAAAGGTAAGTTAGTTTTAAAAGATTATTTTACTGAAGCAAGTGAACAAGGTGAGCAAGCTCTTCCCCGTCCCTTTAGTGTGTGGTATAAATGTAGAAGGATCTCGTGCAACTGCAAAGCCTGAAGGTTCTGTAGGAGCTAGCAAGAATGCCCTGTTGGGACTTGACCTTCCATGAGGGACGTCGGAGTTTACTTGCCAGCCAGTGCAGGACTGCAGCTGCCAGCTCACTGGACTCCAAGCTCCCTAAGGGCAGGGTTCATGTAGTATATGTATTTGTTTCTCTTAAGAAACGCTTCTCAAACTGTGGTCTGAGGACATCATTGCTGTTTAGAAGGGACACAGGGTCCTGTTGGGGGAGGAGTTCAACCAGGAGCCTGCAAGTGCTCCAGGAGCCTCCTCTTCCCACTCCCAACAAAGCAGCTCTTTACTGACTTATATGTTGGGGTGCCCAGTTGAAAGAAAGTTTTGAAAACAGTCTCAGAACTGCTAAGCTGGAAAGAGTAACGTGTCTGGGCTGAAGGTGACTGCTTCTGGAATGGAGTTGATTCACAGCGGGATTTCTAGCTCCCCTGTCTAAGCACTCACTTGGCCCCCCTATTCCCTCCTACTTCGTGGTCATCTCCTGCCCCGGGACACCCAGTGGAGCTGTGTGCCAGCCAGGTGTGGGAATGAGCCCTTCCATCTCAGGCAGCCTGTCCTCACGTGCAGGGACAGGCAAGGGGCAGAGCCCCGGAGAGCCTGGCTTACAAGCTGGCCGCTCTCTGAGTCTTTTCTGAATGTGCCCTTCTCAACTCTGCTCACAGTTACGGACTGCATGATCAATAATCAGAATAGCTGTTATTGATCTTCTGTAATGATAACAGCTTACTGATTGAGCCAGGCACTCTGCTGAGCACATTACAAGGATTAGCTCATGTAATCCTCACAAAGGCATGTTGCCCACTCTGCGGATAGGGCATCTAAAGGTAGAGACATGAATTGACTTGCTCAAGGGCACCCAGCCAGTTACTACTGATAGTGGGTTTGGAGCCCCATCCTCTGAGTCTGAGCCCCAGTGCCTCGAATATTTTTGCAGCCCTGTTTGACAGAGATAAGAGGGATATTGTGGTGAGTGTGTTTTGTTCATAGTTTTGGCAAAGGATGCCCCAGAGAAAAGGCTGGAAGGAACAGAGTGACAGGGTCAGGACAGAATGTTCCATGGAAGGAAGGGTGCTTCTGTGAAAGAGTGGAGTCAGGAGTTTTGTTCAAGCAGTATCCCCGATAAACGTTGCCTCTTCTCTCAGAGGTGCTATGGTTTAGTGGGAAAGCAGCTCTGTAGCCAGACCCCTTGGGTTCCAATCCCAGTTCTGTCACGTATTAGCTACGTCATCGTAGGCAAATTATCCAAGTTATGCTATCCCATGTAGAGGGACGATAATGACAGTATCTCTCTCACGGAGATATTATTACGATAAAATGAATTAGTCCACAGAAAGCATTTAGAACTGTGTCTGGCACATAGTAAACACTCAGTGAATTATATTTTTATGTGTAAAAGAGGTTGTTGGATTAACCTTAGGTAGTTCGGCAGCCATCTGGAAATAAGTAACTGCTGTTCGAGACTATAAAATGGACACTAGCGATTTCACCTGTGAGCTCGGGGGAGAGGGTTGTTCCTGGACCCCAGCGAGAAAGGACCAGGGTCCCTGAGAGACGGCTTAGGGACCTATGAGAAAGAGCTGAGATGTTCTCCCAGAGATTAAAGAGGTAGAACTGAAACAACTAGTCTTTAGGGTCGCTTTGTCAAATTGGACCCTTGGATGAAATGAGGTATAATCTATTTACCTTTGAAGTTATGGAAATTAGTCCCACCTCCGACTTATTGTTATTTCAAAAACAAATTTGTTTGTTTTTTCAGTGAGTAAATGCCATCGGCTGAACCACTTGTATTTTTGGAAGGATGACTTCTGAGATATAAAATTTAAGAGCTAAATATAGCAGATAAAAAAACCAGTAAGGAGATCATGAATTACAAAAGAATTTTGTGGCTTTTTCAAAGAACAAATCTGTGAGCCTAGCTTAAGTCTAGATTAAATTTGCAATGATTCTGAAAGTTATGCCCATCAGTTTGCTAGACTTTACTGGAAGTAAAAGCAGGCAAGAAATACATTAATAATTGACATTTATTGAGCACTTACTAGGAGCCAGGCCTTGTGCTAAGTGCTTCATATGCATTTTCTCATTTGTTTAATCCTCAAAACTGCACATCGAGTGACAACTCTTATTATCCCCAGTTTACAAATGAGGAACCCGAGGTCTAGAGGAGGAAACAATATGCACAAACACATACAGCTGGTAAGCGCTAGGGTCGGCGCTAACTCAGGACTGTCTGGTTTGCCTGTGGGTGCTTAAAGCTTACAGTATGGTTGTAGTAGATCTAATCCTCCCTGACTTAGTCCATTTCTGTCTGTTTGAAATGTGCCATGTTTAGAAGAGGATGGAGGGAGCAGAACACCCACAGTATGAGGTCTGAGTGCAGCACTCAGGCATTTTGGAGAACAGGGGGCAGATGATAAAAAGGGTGCCTGATATGGGGTGGGGGGGTTGGCGGGAGGGCCCGGTGCACCTGCATCTAAGCAAGCATATTGTCAGGCAGGGCCCGGTGTGGGTAAACCTGTGGCGCGGATTGCCATCTTAACCTGTCTCCAGGCTCTCCCAGAGTCCTGGTGTCCAGGGATTCCTCCCTCCTCTTCTGCAAGGATCTCTGTCACTTTCTGACAAGACAGAGAAGGTCCCAGCTGCAGCCTCCCACTGAGCCCTGCTCTGCACCTAACACCGTCAGTGCCCTGTATCTAAAATTAATCCTAGTTCTTGTCCATCAGAATTCCCTTTGGCCAGTGCTTGACTGTTAGCAAACCACTGGGAAGTGATTAATAAATGAATTGATATGCAGGTTTGGCTCTAGTGGGAGACTTAGATTTCGCGGTGGCAATGGATAGGGGAAGCATTTTGGAAGAGGGAGACCCCCCCAGGCACCCCCTAACCACATTCCACGGTTGTACTCTACCCCATCGCTGGAAAGGCAAGCTCCTTTCTGAGGGTCTGAGGTCCACAGTGCAAGCTTCCCTTGTGTGTGTTTTTTTTAATTCAATTAGCCAACATATAAGTACATCATTGGTTTCAGATGTAGCGTTCAATAATTTATCAGTTGCGTATAATACCCGGTGCTCATCATATCACGTGCCCTCCTTAATGCCCATCACCCAGTTACCCCATCCCCCACCCACCTCCCCTCCAGCAACCCTCAGTTTGTTTCCTAGAGTTAAGAGTCTCCCATGGTTTGTCTCCCTCTCTGATGACTTCCCATTCCGTTTTCCCTCCCTTCCCCTATGGTCCTCTGTGCTGTTTCTTATCTCTTGTTTTCTTGATAGAGAAGCTGCTTATCTGAATTTTCAGAAAACATTTATAGCACCGACTCAACAGGGACAGCTGTAGGCAGTGGTGTGAAGTGGGTGATGCCATCCCTCAGTGCCCAGGGCCCTCTCTCTCTGTCCTTTTGTCCTTCCTGCCCCCCCCCCCGCTTCCACCCACCTTCTCGGTTTCTCACACGCAGACTCCTCTTCTTTCCTCATCTCCAATAGGACCTTGGGGCCCTTAACTCACTGAGCAACCTTAAAGCACACATTTCCCAAATGTGGTTGTGTGTACAAAGAGGGTCAAATTGTTTTGTTGAGAACAAAATGGAATTTAGGAATCAGCAGTTTGGGGAGGGTTTCTAAGGATTTAGGGATAGAGGTCCTTGTTAGGCCCCCCACC